TGATGGACAGAGGGGCGGAATTCCTAGCCGACGAGGTTCAGAGCGTGTTTAGGAGAGCTGGTGCGAGAGTTTCGATAGCCACCGCCTATCACCCACAGTCGAACTCCCCTGTAGAGAGGGGACACCAGACTCTGACAGCGTCACTGTCCAAGTGGTGCAAGGGTAAGGACAGTGATTGGCCACGATATTTTCGATACGCAATATGGGCAGACAACGTCACAGTCCGGGCTAGTACCGGATACCCACCGTACACCTTGTGGTTTGGGCGACATTGTCCGCTTCCCATAGAGTTTCACGTCAACAGCTGGACAACTGTCGACTGGGCGGAGGAGATGTCCAGAGAGGAACTCTTAGCTGCCCGAACAAGACAGATAGCCTATGGGTTGGAAGATAACCTCATGACAGCAGCCAATCGTCTGGCAGTGGAAAGGGACAAGGGTAAAGAGAGATGGGATAAGAACGTGCGGATCAGGAAGGAGAGGGTGAGTGTAGGAGACATGGTCTTTCTCTACGATGCAGCGCTGGAAAGAACCTGGACCGGAAAACTCGCCAACAGATGGATGAGACCTTACTGAGTGGTTGAGGCACTCGACTGGGGTGCATATATGATAGCAGAATTAGACGGATCCAAGTGGAAGGACCCAGTGGCGGGTGCAAGGTTAAAGTTGTTTAGGCCCAGGCCCGCGCCCATCTTATCGCTGACGAGCCCGAAAGGGAAAGGGAAAGCCAAAATCAAGGATGGATCCCCCTTGAGGCAATTCGGGGCAAAGAGGATCGTGCCGGGGCCAAAAACCATGAGAGACAGGAGAGTCAAGAAGCATCTTCTTAGCCCCAGGGCTCATAACAAACTGAAGCATAAGACAACTGAACGCCGACGTGGACGACCTTTACAGGCCATCACCCTAAAGCTCATCCGCTTCGTCTGACAAAAGTTGCTAGGGCTTAACAGGGGCGTCGAGAAGTGGTCCGGGCTAACTGTCAGGCGGCCACAAGCAGTGCGCCGCCTGAAATCTACGGTTTTGGGACTTAGGCGCGAAGAGGAGTCTGAGTTTTGACGGTACTCTGGTTAGACCAGGCAGCAAAAATTAGGGGAACTCAGGGCACCCATGATTCTGGGCGCAGTGAGCCTTACGAGTAACCCTGAAAGATGGCGAGATAAGTGGCCACACTCGGCGCATCTAGGGACCGTCATTCCCGGCCGTTTAGAGAGCTAGGCTCGGATTGACCTGCCGCGGAGAGGCATCGCGGGAACTGACTTCGCCGCAACGTTTTTGCGGCATACGGCCGGGGCCGAAATGAGGCCTCAAGTTTTTAACTATTTTTGGTACGTAAACTAAAGATGGGAGAAAAGATTGGGAACAGTAGGAGGGAAGAGAAAAACGTAATATCCCTTAGTTCCCTTATTTTTTGCGGCATTTAAATTTTGGGGAAAATACCTCGTTATTTTATGTTTCCGGCAATAAAATAGAAAACCAGAGAAAAAGATTAAAAATGGTAAGGGAGAGAAGAAAAGAGAGAATTTCAACCATTTGATTAAACTCCCTCAGAATTCATTTTTGGTGATCCTATGGTTGATTCACTATTTCAGACGATAGAATTAACGAAAAGGGAGAACGATTAAAAATGATGGAACAAACAGGAGCTAATGATTATTCGATGCCTGGTCTGGTTTTGCATGGGATATCCACCGTCATCTCAGAACCCAGATTTGATCAAATTCCCTGACCTCTAACTTTTTTTTGCTATTCCCCCGATGATCAGAACTCTCTATGACGCATCCCCTGTTTACCTGATTACTAACCTTACTGAGCCCGGCGGTACGGACGATGACCACATGGATATGGACAGCGTGGGATCGTGTTACATTAGACCGACAGCATGATGTCAGGTTCGGTACCGGACATGTTTGAGGTTCGGCCTGAGCCGATATCGGCGTACTTCAGGTTCGGGCACCAGGGTGATTTATTTCCAGGGTCGGCATTATCACGGCTATTTATTTCAGGATCAGCATCATCATGGCTATTTGTTTCAGGGYCGGAACCGCCACGGTGGCTTACTTTCAGGTCTGGAGCCACTATGACGATGTATTTCAGGTTCGGAACCTRGACGGCAGGTTATTCCAGGTTCGGCGCTATCACGGGTATTTAACTCAGGCTCGGCACCGACATCCTCAGGTACGGCATGAGCACGGCATCGGCACAGTACGGTTGTCTCTTATTCGGGTTTGGTTGGGAATCAGATGCGGTTCGACGACCATATAAGCTACGACTCAAAAGGATTAGAGCGAAAAAACGCGGGCCACAGGAGTTCGAGGCGGTTGTTTCACGGGTTGGCATTGAATCAACGTACACACGATCATTGGTTGGTGGGAGCTGCTAAGGCATTGAGTACGGAACAACTTTTATTCACTAGTGCTKGATGACACTAGGCTGATGCTAGTGGCTGCAGAGCCGTCACACAGTCGGTAACAGTTCCGGTATGGGAATGACACGTGTGGTGCTTGGAGTGACATTGGGGCTGTGCTACAGTACTCTTGTACCGATGCTGGTGGGACATACTTGCTGCTCGGCACGGAACCTAACATTGGTTGAGGCGGCTCCGGTCTGCTGAGCCTTAAAAATTACTAATTTTGGATATAACTACCAGTCTAACTTCGATGTGGTGACGGTACAGACGACCGCAATCTGCGACACATGCTCCAGGTTCGGAACTGCTGCTGACCTGACTAATGCATTTGGGATGCTGAGACCGAACCTGGTAATTCTAAGGTGCGATGCTGTTTTTTTTTATGGACCCTGGGAAAAGGCCTTCAAGTAAGGGTTGTGAATCCGTTTTCTCTGCGGGCCACTCGTACCGACTGGGCCCCCTCTGAGCTCGGTCATTGGGCCTGGGTTTTCCAGCAGTCCATGGCCAGGGACTGCAGTCCTCTTATAGCCTGGGTGCTGGGCCTGCTACCTGGGGGGTACAGAGAGTGCGAGCCCTCAGCAATGAACAGGTACCGCTGAGGACCAGGGTTGACCTTGTGGGGGCTGCGTCCAAGACGGGATATAGGGCAAGACCACGAGAGAACAGGTGGAGAAGGGGGACAAGGCAGACTCGGAGGTATGCCATGTGC